TCAGGGTCAACGTGGCTAGAGACCTGGACCTACTCATTGCATGACTTGCACCAGACCCAGCTAAAATTCTGTCACTCGGGGAAAAAAAATCATGAGAATTGACAACCCAAAGGGACAAACATCATCATCAGTGATGATGTTTGAAGGCAAGTACAACAGGGACCTCATGGCATACACCAGTGGTCTCCAACCTTTTTACACCCAAGATCACTTTTTAAGTCTCAGAACAGGCAAAGATCTACTGCCCCGCCCCTTCCTTGAAGCCCCGCCTACATTACATGAGGAAATCTAATGTAAATGTACTGTGCAGGTGCGCAGTTCAGAGAGGGCTCAAGAGCTACTCTTAGAGCCCCTGAGATCTACCAGTAGATCGCGATCTACTGGTTGGTGACCACGGGCATACACGATGTTGGCAACATGCAACTGAGACATATGACACTGGTACTAGGTGCCATAGTCCATAAATGTTCTTGCCAGACATACAGATATTATGTTCTCAGGAGCCTGTTTTAAACTGGAGTATTTTATCAAAACATTTAACATAATCTATATTCTACAAATGAGGAGAGGCTTTCAAGACCACAAATAACCTGTAGTCACACAGCGGTCTGACTTGTTCAGCAGAATTCCATCCCTTAAGAAAAAGGAAAATAGAGCCCTGGCATCCCATCCAGTTCTTATACCAAAATAGTCCAAATTTAGACTCACATTCATATACTATGGAAATGCTACACACACATACACACAAATTTAGACTCACATTCATATACTATGGAAATGCTACACACACACACTTTCACACCCCCATAAAACTATAAGAGGTGGAAAAGAGAAGGAGTGTTGTGGCTAACTCTTATTACTGAACACAATTATGGCATTATGGATGTCTTATCAATAATAAGTAAGTGCAAAGATCCTGGAGACTACAGAGCCCAGCATGTCATGGTCTATCCTGATCTAAGCAGCTCATATAAAAATATTAAATGTCACCTCTGCAGTCCCTGGAATTATGGAAATATTCCAGATCGAGGGAGGGTTGGCTGCTGCAAAGTTGTCACTCATTTAGGCACAGTTTGAGTGACCTTACTCATAATTATTAAGTTTTGTAACCTGAACACTCAGCACCAAATGCTGCTCGCTAACATTTTTGAAAGGATGAGTGTGATTTCATGAGTGTCAAAAACAATTGAAAATGCTCACATTTTTTCAATCTAGTCTAGTCTATTTATGCAAAGTATTTAGAAGCAGGTCACATTTGGAGTTATATGGCCCCAGACCTCATCTGACAGAATTCTATGGATACAGAATTGAAGGTTAGAAGGGATCATTAGAGTATATAATCTGTCCTCCTCTATAACACAGGCCATTAAATTTCACCCACATTGATATGCCTTTTATAATTTAAAAAAGCATTACTTTTGTTATAGTCTTCTTTATATTTAGCTTTTTATTTTTAATGGTGAATGTGCCTTGCTCCTTTTAAAATCTTTGGCTGTGTCTACACTAGCAGCAAGTATTTGCGCAAGAACACTGACATTGTAATGTACAAAATCAGTGCTTTTTGCTCAAATACTCTGACGCTCCTGCTCAGGAATAAGTCCTCTTGCACAAGTGTTCTTGTGCAAGAGGCCAGTGTAGACAGGTAACATCAATTTCTTACGCAAGAAAGCCCAATGGCTAAAATGGCCATCGGAGTTTTCTTGCGCAAGAGAGCCTCTACACTGGCATGGATGCTTTTGCGCAAAACCAAATCTTTTGTGCAAAGGCACATGCCAGTATAGACGCTCTCTTGCGCAAATACTTTTAACGGAAAAACTCTTCTGTTAAAAGTATTTGCGCAAAATCATGCCAGTGTAGATGCAGCCTTTATGAACAGTAGGAAAACTTACAGGTATTTTTTCCTGTATCAGTGCTGTTTTTACAATTGTGTTATCTAATTGCTGTTGAAGATGTTAATTCCCTGAATAATAGCTCAGACGCAAGTTTTGGGGTGGAGTGTTGTATACATTTGTATAAATTTAAAAAACAATAAATGGTCTGGTAGCACTTAGATTAACAAAACATGTAGATGGTATCATGAGCAAAGCCTGCTTCTTCAGATGACCATAGTTTTGAGTTTAGGGTATGCATTTGGATGTACGTTTGTATAGTTAGCCTGACCCTTGCAACTCTACTGATGCTATCTACTGATGCTATGAGTATTGGGAGCAGAAGGACTGTTACCACTGTGGCATCTGATCTTGCTAATGTGACCTGGGCGTGTGATCTGCTTCCTGTACTTCATTGTACAAAAGTCATTTACCCGTATAACTTGACAGCACACAGTTGTGTTCATTTTTGTACTATTTTCACAGTAATCAATTTATTTTGCATGAGTCAATGCAACATTTCTCAGAGCTGGCTTTCCTATTGGTGTATTGGTAGCTGGCCTGTGGTCACTGATGACTATCTTGAGATCAAAACCTCGCTGAATTCAATCGTAAGCAATTCTTTTTTGTATGATGAGGAATTCAGTTGACTAAGATAGTTATCACTTTGAGAGGCAAGTAGTGCTGTGAAAAGATAAAGGAATCCCAGAATGAATACATCCAGGCTGAGTCTACATTGGCGCGATCTTGCGCAAAAGCAGCTGCTTTTGCGCAAAAACATGCTGCCTGTCTACACTAGTGGGGAGTTCTTGCGCAAGAACACTGACATTCTAATGTGTAAAATCAGTGCTTCTTGCTCAAGAACTATGATACTCCCACTCAGGAATAAGCCCTCTTGTGCAACTGTTCTTGCGCAAGAGGCCAATGTAGACAGGCAACATGAATTTCTTGCACAAGAAAGCCCGATGGCTAAAATGTCCATTGGAGCTTTCTTGCGCAAAAGAGCGTCTACACTGGCATGGATGCTCTTGCACAAAAGCACATCTCTTGCGTAAAGGCACATGCCAGTGTAGATGTTCTCTTGTGCAAATACTTTAACGCAAGAACTCTTGCGTTAAAGAGTATTTGCGCAAGATCATGCCAATGTAGACGTAGTTGTGACAATACTATGGGAAAGGAAAAAAATACATCAGTTCCATGAAGAGTTGGACTGAATCCTCAGTCTTTCTCATCCCTATATTCAGCATGTGACACTGAAGTAACAAAAAGGAGAAACTTGAAAAACAACAAATAGTCTGGTAGCACTTTAAAGACTAACGAAACATGTAGATGGTATCATGAGCTTTCGTGGGCACAGCCTCATCATCTGAAGAAGTGGGCTGTGCCCAGGAAAGCTCGTGATACTATCTACGGCTGTGTCTACACTGCACCCCTTTTCCGGAAAATACTTTCAAGTAGGAATAAGAGATCCTCCGGAAAAGGACTTGTTTTCCGGAGAATCACGTCTAGACTGGCGCTTTTCTCTGGCTTATCCCCAAGCCGGAAAAAAGCGGCAGCCATGTCAATGCAAATGCCACGGGGGATATTTAAATCCCCCGCGGATTTTGCTATTCCGAAGTCTACATTAGCATCCCTTTTCCGGAAACGGGTGCCAATGTAGACACAGCCTACTTGTTTTCTTAGTCTTTATAGTGCTATCAGACTATTTGTTTTTTAAGTTTTTCCTGTTACAGACTAACTCAGCTACCCCTCTGAAACTTTTGAACAAAAAAGGAAAAAGAATACACAATCATGCATTGAGGAAACCAGATGAAAAACTAGACCAAAAAGTATCCCAGACCTTGCCGAGATCTGTTTTAGGATCCTCAGGATCTAGACGTGGCAGTAAACGTGCTAGTGGCAGTATGTTTACAGGCAGAAATTACCTCATTTACAGTTTTAGAATCTTTTGATGGAGAGGTACTACTGTGATTATTAGATATTTACTGTAATTGTCTCTAGTTTGTAGGTCTCCCCAAAAAAGCCCAATGTTTTATGATTTCTTTTCAAAAGAGTTAACTAATGAGTACTTTTCCCAGAACTGGGATGATATAACTTGGGTTCAGAGAGATTTTGGTGTGATAAGGTAGATATATCTGCATTTGTTACAAAACAGAAACAGCTGAAACAGGTTAATTTGAGCTGTGTGTGTAAATCAGTGTTTTTTCAAATGGAAAAAGGGCATAATTGGTATGGAAAAAAAGATTATTTTTCAGAATGATCAACAATGGAGAGGAAACACCTATAAGTCACTCCTACTGTCACTTTAATTGGACATTCCAAACAGCACTTTATGTACAGATTTGTGAGTATATAAAGTTAATAATAAGTCTGCTAGTTCGGAGGAGATTAACTGTTTTTCTCAGTTTCATGCATATGTGGGGCATGTCTCAAAACTCTCCATTTCATAATGCACAACTCAATTTTTAATTATCTCATAGGGAAAAAAAATTCTCCCTTGACTATTATTCTTTC